AACACGTGTCCTAAGTCAGATGGATCACACCTTACAGGTTACCTAGGCTGTATACTCTGCCCTATTATATTTTCAGGAGAAAGTACCGCCAGCTCTGGAAAAGTACAACTTAATATGAATTTGTTTTCCAGTCCTGTTGCCTCCCTTTTTAATTATGGTTATGAGGAAGTGCTTTAGTTTCAATGAGACAACAAATTAAGAGATTCTTCCATCTCTTTGAAGGTATACACACACCTGGTATCTGTGGTTTAACATAGGCTAAGGAGAGGTTCTGGGGCCTTGTTTATGCAGTAGAATTCCCTTCTTGTGCCACCAGTGGTTACTGGATGTAGCAAAGAGAGGAACCTTGCGTAAACAAACCTCTTTCAACCTCTTTACTCAAAGCAGATGTATTTACACTGAATTTTGCCAGTTGTGGTGTAAGCACATACGAACAATTCAGTGCTAGCTGTGTTTAGAGCTGTGGGAACTTTCAGAAAAGTCCCCGCTGTAGGTGAGGGAATTTCCTGTTCACCATCCATATCATATCTTCAACACATGCAACGTTACTCTGTAGTATCCCAGTCTTCAAAATTGAACATAATGGCTGAATTCTTTGTAAATCAGTATTCTGCTTACAGTTATGATATAAATGATTGTTTATACTTGTTGAAGCTTTTTCATCAAATACAGAAATTATGCAGTTGGGTCAGAAACTGTTACCTTTTCCTTTACCTTTCTTCCTCTCATGGCTTGACATCGGAAAGACATGAAAGACAAATTTGGACTTTCTTTAATACTAGTGTGCAGAGATTCACATTATTCATATAAATTGATCCTATATTGATTTTCTCTGTTTTCTTTCCAATCACAGAGCAGGCTTTTCCATGTTCAGTAGTAGGCCTTCTCCTGCAAGTGTCCTGAGGTGTGGTCTAGGTGTGTTCAAATCTAGCTTAGTCATTCATCCGTCACCTTGTCATTAGCATGGCGTCTGTATTTAATTGGGCTTCCTTCCTTCATTCATCAGAAATCAGTTTTTATATACCATGAAAACTACAGCCCATTATTAAAAGTTAGCTGTAAGTGAGATTCTTGGCTCTTATTTATACAAGAAGCAGTGAAAATAGCATCTCAAGTACTCTTTCAGATGAGTGCTATGTGTGAAGAACACATGTGTGAGTCCAGTATACTGCCTCAAAGCCTTCTGCTTCTCAAGCTTTAGTTCATAAGTAACTTATTAAAGAGTTTTTTTTCAATCTGTTGAGTTGCTTGTTAGGTCGTAATCATCAACAACTTTCACAGGTCCCATCTTTGCCTCCCAGAAAATCTTGCTGAGTTATTGTTGTGGTTAGTGTTTCAGTTGTTGAATATTTCAGTTGAACGGCATTGAGATCAGCGCTCCATCTCTTTTGAGTATAGTAAGGGTTGATCCCTCCCTGAAAATGCTTGCATTTTCAAGGGAAAGTGAGAGAAAATATTATCCTAGTTTTAGAAATAGAGACATGAGATGCTATGCTTGGAGGTCTGGGGCTTCTGGTGGACACCAACTTGGCCATGAGCCAGCAATAAGCTCTTGCAGGAAACACAGACAACTACATCTTGAACTGCGTTAAGAAGAGCATCACTAGCAGGTCAAGGCAAGTGATCCTTCCTCTCCTCGCTTCTCTTCCCTGGTGTACACATCTGGAGTGCTGCAACCACTGCTGGGCTCCCCAGTGCAAGAAGGACATAGGCATACTGGAACAACCCCAGTAAAGTGCCACGAAGGTGATTGAGGGATTGCATTGTCTAACATATGAGGAGAGCCTGAGAGAGTTGGAACTGTTTGGCCCGGAGAAGAAAAGGCCTGTTTGAATCTTACCAATGTGTATGACTACCTGATTTTTGATGGGAGGAGTAAAGAAAGAGATAGCCTCTCTTTAGTGACATCCAGTGACAGGACAAAGGACAATGAGCACAAATTAAGATACAAGAAATTCAATTTAAATGTAGAGAAAAACTTGTTTTAGTGACAATATTGTCAAACACTCAAACATGTTGCCCAGAGAGATTGTGGAGTCACCATTGTTGGAAGAAGTCAAAACGCAACGGGACACCGTCCGGAGCAACTTGCTATAGCTGACACTGCTTGGAGCAAGGAGTTGGACTGCATGGTCTCCAGAGTTCCTTTCTTCAATGCTTCTGTCATTCTGCACCTGCCGGCTTGCCCCAGCAGGCACAAGAGTTTATCTTGTGAGCAGAGCTGAGCGCAGGATCCCAGTCTGTCTGATCTGACCCGGCTGAACTTGGCACATGACCAGAGGGGCCTGCTCCCCACATCTCAGATCACGAGATAGTGAGCTAGTCTAAAGACTTGCTCTATTTAACACCCACGTTCCTAGGCTTCTGCTCCCGGTCCCCAGGCCATGCTTGTAACTGGGATCACCTGCATGCAATGGCATCCCAGCTGCATTCCTTCCTCTCCAGGCACAGGGCTGTGCGAGTGGCCCAGGAGTCGCTATCGCAGCTCTTGCTGCCAGTGGATTCCCCGTGTGGGAGTGAATAGTCAGGCACATTTACGGCAGCGTTTGCTAGTGTAGCAAAACAGTGTTTTAAGCCCTGCACCTATTAGAATCATCACTGTCTTCACCTGGAGATAGTCAAGCTCAGACACAGATATGCAGGAGACAAGCAAGCTAGGTCACAAAACTTCAGATTGTCCCAGTGCATCAAACCTTGTCCTTCTACCTTAGTGGCAGCAATGCTGTAGTCACTGGAAATTATGTTCAAGATACTGCTCTGTAGTTACTACTTCTGATGGCTCTCCTGTTCGTAAAATAATAGATTGTGACAACTGAGATGTATATGAATGTTTGATATTAAGAAGTAGTAGGCTCAGTTTGAGGAAAATTGGTTTGAATCTAACCAGGGCAATCAGATAGTCATGAATAATAAAAAGTCACGTGTGAAATATATATTCAGCAAAGTTAGGTGTCCAGTAAAACTAGTTTCAACATTGTTTGCACTACCTAATCTCTAAAATTATAATGTGTGAGTCACAGCCCTTAGATGATCTTAACCTTTACTAGAGGATACCCTGCTTTGTGTTCAGCAGCAGAAACAACTGAGCAAGGACCTGTGCAGACCTGGTGAATCCAACAGGACACTTTTGACTGAACCGTAAGTAATGCATTTTTTTCCTGTGGAAAAATTGTCAAATGTTATATGCAGGATAGTATATTCTGAATAATCAATTGAGAAATTGCCAATTCATATTCATTTGCAATTTAAAACTTTTTGTATTTTTTTATTATGTTTTGGGTTTTTTTTAAATAGAAAAAAAAAGACTACTGTGAGATAGGCAAGTCATAAACAAATCCAAGAGCTCAAAATTAAATGTGTTCTAGATATGAAAGTGAACTGTCTGAAAGTGGTTTGTCGTGGGGCTCAGGCCCTTCCTAGCGATAGTAATATTGCTATAACCGTGATATTCAGAGGATGTAAATTAAGGAACATTTATAGCATAAATATTAAAGCAGAGATCAGCATTCTGAGTTCACTGAATTTTGGAGAACCAAAATGCTGGAAAGTGGAGAACACAAATGTGGAGTCATGGTAGGAGCCGATAAGGATTTAATGATTTTACGAGGCATGAGAATCTGAACACTGTTTCTCATTGCAAGTCAGAAACGTAAGATATTTTTCCCCTTTGAAAATCCTTGCATTTTCCTCTAGAGAGTATTTTGGTTTATAAAAGATTCTGTAGGTAAAGTGATCATATACCACAGGAAGATATTCTGATTTCCAGATATTCCATATCTTTACTTCCTTCTGTCTGTTGACAGAAGTTGTTGAACCGTGTGGTACAGTTTTAATATTAATTTCTAAAGGTAAAAGTATTGCCGCAGATGTGGAATGGATGGTTTCTGTGCTACTCTGGAGAAGGCTTTCCTGTTCTATCAGTATCTTTTAGTATTTTTGTTCCTCCAGAGTTTACTCATTTACGTTTATATTTTATCTTGGCAGCTTTCTCTGCCAAAAATCACCCTTTACTGTCTTTCTGATGATAATCACCATGTTTGTTCTAGAATTTCCTCTATTTCTTTATTTTTTTTTTTATTTTAGGAGATTTGGTTCAATCACTGAGCTGGATGTGCCTTTGCATGCAGCAGGCACACTTGTTTCCATTTGCTGTTCTGTGCACATACTCATTTCCCCTTTCTTTATAAGGAACACAATATTTCCAGGGTCTTGATAACTTCCTAATTGCTGAAAGCATATTTCTCTCTTTTGTTATTTACGTGGAAACTTTTTAAAAAAACATTGCTCAATTGTTCAAGCTTTATGGAATCACTGTGAATGTTCATCACTTTCCCATTAACAAGTGCATTTACTTTCTTTCTGGTGCCTTCCTATATGTTTACACGCAGCTCATATAAAAATGTATAATGTTTTAATTCTCACAATGGAGGAATATTGTGCCTTTCTTCTGTTTTGATTTTTCATTTTGGTAAATTTACCTGACTAGCCTTGACTGGCTCCCTTACTCTCTACTCTCTAGACTCATACTTTTGACTTACAGCTTTTTATCACTTAAAGCCACATTAAAAACGCAAGACTGGAAACAAAGCAGTTTCAAAGGAATCGTAGCCTAGCCTTAATGAGGGCATATTTGGTATTACTTCATCCCTATTTGACTTCAGTTTTTATTCTTTCGTAACTTCTTCAGTGGATTGAGTAATTTTCCAGAGTCTGCTTCCTTGAAATAGAAAGCTGGTATCCCTGAATTCAAATAGCTTGGAATCACTGGTACCAAGCCAGCTCTGTACAGTGAAGGGACTGGCTTATTGATAACCACAAGCTCAAAAGATTTGTAAGCCACATGTCATTTTTCTTTTCTTCTTTTACAGACTTATAGAAACATGAAGATGATGTTTTTCCTGTGTCTTTTAATTGTTGGGATTCATTCCAACAGTTATTGCTATCAGCCTAATCACCAAGGTGTGAGAAATCAAAATCAAAGAGGCCAAGAAAACCAAAACATGCCACTGCGAACTGTAGGGAACAGCGTGTGTCGGTTTGCATGTTGCTTCTACAAAGAGATTTCTTCTCTTGAAAACAGTGGGAATATTTTCTTTTCTCCTTTGAGCATCTCTACTGCCTTTGCAATGCTGACTCTGGGTGCCAGGTCCGACACTCTGACACAGATTCTCAGGGTCCTTAGCTTTAACCCACGTGAGATTTCTGAAAATGAAATACATGAAGGTTATCGTCAACTCATGCAAATGGTAAACAGAAAGAATGGGTTACAGCTGAATATGGGAAATGTCCTGTTTGTGCTTGACCAACTGAAGCCACAAGAAAAATTTTTAAGTAATCTCAGAAACTTCTATGAAGGAGAAGCTTATCCTATGAACTTCAAGAGGGCTGATCAGGCCCAGATAAAGATCAACGAATATGTGGCACAAAAAACCAATGGGAAAATCAAGGACCTCATAAATAACCTCGATCCACTTACTGAAATTCTCCTTATTAGCTATATTTATTTTAACGGTAAGATATACATATCATATTCTTCTACTAATACATTATTTCCTCAGGTCAGTCTTGGCCTTCATCATCTTTTTTTTTTTTGCAATGTAGTTTCATAGTGGGATTCATATCTTGTTTTCTTTTTGGTCTTCAATTACACTTAATTATAAACAGAGCTACGGGAAATTTTGCTCTGCTTGACACTGATGATAATTCCTAGCAAAATTTATGGCAAATTTCCCATGTCTTTTAATATATACTTTTCTTTCCTATTGAATCTTAAGTGAAATATACTTTGAGGAAGGGACCTCTATTCAGTAAAGCATCTAGTCCTATACGGTCTAGTGGGATTTAAACACTTTCTTAAATGCTTTGTTGGCTAGGAATTAATTTGAAATCCCCTTCAGCTTTTTTTTTGTTTGTTTAGCAAGTTCAGAGTTAAATTCAAAGAACACTGTTAAAGTAAAACATAGCATCTTACCTGAAGGGAAATACGATAACAGTAACAGTTTTGCTGTTACTGATAACATGTTTATGTATCCACAGCTAAATATTTAACAGTAACTTTGGTTTCACACTCATGCTCGCCTTTTTTTTTTTTACTAACTTCGCCTTTCTGATAGTATGGGTGTAGTCCTGATGTGTCTAGAGACATAGGGTTTCAACCTTTTTTTTTTGATTTGCAGATTCTAATATTTTCCAGTGAAGAGATGGACCCACCAGTATCAAACACAAGCCTAATGACAATAAGCTTGTTTTTCTTAATTAACTTGTGCAGTCTGCTTAGATACAGTCTACAGATCTTCCCAGAGCTTTTCAGACTGCTGATCTAATGAGAAGAAGAGGAGCAAGGCTGTAAGGCTCAATCAGTGGTCTAATAACAGATATTGTGTCTTCTTTCAAACCTAGTCTCTCTGACTAATTTCATCATATTCTGAAAACAAAGCCATTGTACTCAGAAAAATAATATTCTGTAATAATTGATCTGATAAAAATGATAAAAATATCATTAAGCTTTCTAACTGAAACAGAGAAGACCTATTAGAAATGCTATGCTTTTAAAAGAAATGCTATTCTTTTAAAACCATTAACCTGGATGCTTCCACTCTTCTCCTTAATATGAGGCTTCACCTGAAAGTAATTCGAAACCATATTTTTGTTTTGTTTTGCTTTCCATCTGTGTCTCGGCTCCTTGTGTTAATCTCTGGAGATTTACACACAGTTAAATGGAGCTTTTTGGAATACAGATGACTGATGTTTCTTAATTATTTTGAATGCATACTTGTTTGTCTAAAATGATGTTTTCAAGATAGGCTTTTATTTATCACCAGGCGTGTCTTTCAAAACTGGCAAAAAACCTGTTGATTTTTCTTTTACTGAAAGGTATTTGAAGAATGAACAATAGATTTAGTAGCAAGATGGGAATAAAAGCTTGAGAAACTTTATATTAAAGATAACTTTGTATTACAGACAACTTTTACACATTCTAAGAATAAGTTTAATTTAAAATTATATGTTCATTGTTATCACTGAAGTGATTTCCTAGCTTCTTCAAAGATGGTGGTGATTCAGTTTTAGCTCTTCAATTTTAAACCAAATAATTTAAAGAATAGTATTAATAGTAATAATAAGGACCTTTGTCTTGAAATTGAGGTTAAATGCTAATTGATCTCGAGGCTGGGATTAATCTGGAGAGGATCTCTAAAGCTCAGGTACCTCTATAACCAATCTATACTTCTAGGCTCTTACCCACTATCTGTGCATTGCAACCTTCCTTGCACAGTACTGGTGACTTTCCTCTCCCTTTTTTGTGGTGTAGCATAGTGTAGAAGTCCTTCCCTAAGGACAAAAGTCAGGCGATATTTTCCTGGCTTTCAGCCAAGGGGCATGGTATTCCACTATGGTGTATAGTCCCTTATGATGCCCTAGCCAAGCTGGTCGCCACAAAAGTGTCATACTTTGAGGCTCATTTTTCCATTTGAATGCTGCGAAGCATTTGAGAAAGGTGCAATCCCTAGAAGACATCCTACTAAGAGAGAGGAGAGCATAAGAATAAGAGTTCCTCTGAAACAGGAGGAAAGGATTAGTGAATATCATCTCTAATCTGTGGGCTAGATCCTAACATCCTACTCAGTTTTTAATCAGCTCTTTCTGAAATCAGTGGGTGTTTTCCCTGAGTGGAGCACCAGATGAAGGTTATTTGAATGTTTCAGGACTAATGTAATTCATATTTCTTCTGCTTCACTCTGCCTTTTTTTTTCCTTACGCATATCAAAGCAAAAAAGTCCTGCCTGTTATATATCTGATGATAGAAGAAGTCACTGTTGATGAAGAAACATAAAAGCAGAAACTTTCTCCATCTTCAGAGTATTGGCACTTGTCAATTTATATTTTCAGAGCCCAAGACATGAACTAACTAAATCTCATTTCACTTCCAAATACTAAATAAGTGCTGTTTATGTCTATTTTACAGATGGTGGAAACAGCAGACGATTGTTATTTAATTTGTACCAAACTGCCTAATAAGCATTGTTGAAACAGAAATCAGAAGTCAAAAGGGATTGCATCTTGTTTCATGGTTTTCTTGATGGCACTTATTTTACTTAGCATTGTGGCTCTGCTTTTGTCCACTAAACTTGATAAAAAATTAGTTTTGTTCTAGAAGGTAAAATTTACTACAGAGTAACACTTCTTTCTTTAAAAAACAGCAACAAAAAAGAAGCCCCCAAACTTCCCCCCCCTCCCCCCTTTTTTTTTAACCTTCTCGGCCTCTGAAATGGATGAGGGAAATAGCTAGAATTTTGCTTAGAAATTCCTCTCTGCTAAGGATAAGAATCTTTCACAGTTTCACTGCAGACAGTTTGTTTCACTATGACTAAGCGAGGAGCCTTTGGAAATTTAATATTGAGAGAATGACAGTACAAAAGGTTTCTGTTGTTGTTTTTTTTTTTGTTTTTTTGACCCAACATTATGGTAGAATCAAGTTCTTCATGACTTTATTTGCCATCAGCTAAAGCAGCATATAAACCCCTTTTCTCTGCAAGTAACCTGAATCCCTACATTTCTCTGGAAAATTCACCCCTCATGTCACCCTTCACAAGTTTATTTTGGTGTCATAATAAGGAAAGGAGAGAATCTTTCTTCTTCTGAGCTCTCATTTCAAGTCTGCCTCATATGAGGGCTTTATAGGTTCCTTAAAACTGTTGTAATGGAGGAAAAGTGCATGCTAAAACACTTGGTATCTCATCTAAATGAAAGATATTGTGACCTGCTGTAAAATCTGAGGAGTTTTTTTACATCACACTCTACCTTCCGTGTGTTGCTCTTGTATTATTCTGAGTATTCAGTAAGATCAAGTGCTTATTGCAAACTGGTTTGTCTTTGAAGCTGACCCAGCTGTACCAGTTTCTGACATCTATGAATGTGACCTATGGTGATATATCCTATGGTTTCATGTACTCAAAATATTCTATAACTCTGTCTCTTATATTTCAAGCTGAATGGGAAAAACCTTTTGATCCAAAATACACTAAAAGAATGAAATTCTTTGTGAATGGGATCAAGACTGTTGAAGTCCCAATGATGTTTGGAATGGGCCTGTTCAAGCATGGCTATGATGAAGAGCTGTCTTCCACAGTGGTGCAGATGGATTACAAAGGAGGTGCTTCGGCATTTTTTATTCTGCCTGATCAAGGAAGAATGAGAAAGCTGGAGAAAAAATTGTCTTGTGAACGTATGTCAAGATGGAGGACATTAGTCTCAAAAAGGTAAAATTCTGCAGTTCTTGGTTCAGATGGTAGGCAAGGAGACACATCGGTTTTAATCTACTGGGCTATGACATAGAATCAGGACATTATTTTTAGTTCTGTTTTAACCTACAGAAGAATTCCCACTGACCAAAGTTGAAATCTGGCGCTCTGGTGTCCCTGTGGTTTCACATTCAGTACTGCACGAAGTGAAAACTTTCAGAGCTTTAGGACTTTTGCCATTTCCACATTTTGTTTCCCATCTTCAACTCTCCATAGCCTCCTGTTTTCTGTCTTAAGACCTTGTCTTACTTTTTGGGGGGAGATCTTTTTCCTTCTCCTATTTACAGGTAAATTCCTACCACTTTCCTTCAGTCTTTTTTCTTGTCTCTTGCTTCCTTTCTGCCTATTACAGTTATCAGTAATTGCACATTTAATGCTGAGATAATAACTTTCGTTTGGCAGTTGTGAGGATAAAACTCAATGATAAGCGTACAGAGCAGCTGGCACATTGCAGTGCCACTATACTCAGGCTCTGTGAAGACTCAGGAAGGCAAAACAGGAATAAGCTATACTTGCTTCAAGGTAACTTTGAGACTAGAAGACAGAAAGGTTATTTGCTTTCTAAAAACAACTTTAGGCTCCTTCAATGTAGTATCATGTATAGTAGTCGCCTTTGATGGGATGGAATATGTGCACAAGCATAGGCACAACATGTTCACCAAATCAAGCCCTTGTGTTCATTCATGAATCTGATGTGCCGTGTTACAGATGTTCACAAATACATATTTGAAAATCACATTTTAGGTAATCAATTGTCAAGACAAAAATTACGTCCCTAATACAGAAAACCAAAACCAGTGTCATGCTCTTAACTCTGATTCACTGTTAAATCTTATCAAAATAATCTAAAACTTTTGCCAGTTTAAGAAAAGGGCAGAAAATAACTATGTAATTCTCTGTGCACCTTCACAGTTTTGAAATTTGTGGTGGTTTGAAACAACTGTGGTTGGTGACGAAAGTCCTTATAGGACAAATAAGATGTTGAATCAAGATACTTATGAAAAATTTTTGTCAAAGAAACATAATTGCCTTTAAAATCGTCAAGAAAGACACTAAATAAATTGGGGGGATTTATATTCCCCCTGCGCATCCCCCCTACTGAAGTCTCTGAGAGGTCTTAATAAATGGGTTTGATGTAGGATATGGAATGATGTAAGGACTGTAGGTAAGCTATTTTTGTCTCTGTTTCTTTATCTGCAAACTGACAGTGACACAAGGTGTGAAAACATTATGAGGAACATTTTTCAGTACTGTTTAATGGCTGAACTGTGGAGAAAAATATCACTTTCTCTTCTGGAAAGTGTATCCCAGTGCTTCCTGCCTGGTTGCATTGTTGCTGTGTGCCTACGTCTTTCCCTTTCCTGTATGTTGAAAGCAAGTGGGGGCTCGTGAATGAGCCTTTTATGTAATAGCAAGACAGATGATTCAATGATAGTTGCATCCTCACTTGAGACAGCAATCAGCACAGCCAGAAATTGGGCGGAAGTAAGAGATCAGCAACCTGTTATCAATCCACAAGCACTCGCATTTTTGGGTACCGGCCAGACTTGGCATTATATGCTGTGCTACACTGGAAGTATGGGCCCTTTCCTTCCCACTTATCCACTGGATGACTCGCTCTTTGGCCAGCTTCAGTAAGTGCTCCGCATATCTCTGACCTGGAACCCTGGACAGTTGTCCTGATTTCTCAGCAGAAAACAGTATCTACTGTCAGTGTTCTCACTAATCTGTGACTCATTATTTGGCTTCCAGCTATAAATGTTGGTTTTAACCTTTGAATTCTTAGATTCTTACTAAAAGAGCAAAGAAGAAATAAGTCAGAAATATGGAGCTTTGATTAATTTATGGAAAGCAGCGAACTAGTCACTTTCCAAAAAATTAATAAAATAAATAAATCAGACATCAGACTTGACATAGAAAAAGAATTATTTGTTCGCTAACTATATCCTGTCAGTGTACTTTTGTTTTTTACTTTGTCGCCCATATAATCACCACCACATATTGTCTGCTCCTTTGGTATATCTTTTTGTCTTCTCTGTCCTGATTTATATGATAAACACACAAGACCAACATTTTGTTTGTTTTTTTTTTTTCCAAAAGTAACTGGTGAACTTGGATGTGTTGGATTTTTTTTGTGTCCAGCCTAAGAGACAGCTAAAAGAATCACTTTTTCACAAGGTGAACCCTCTGCGTCCCTAGTAATGGGGCATGATTAAGGTGATTCCAGCAGAATGCATAAAACACTTCTAACTTCAGAAAATGTCAGATGGAGATCCTTAGGGAGGTAACTTTGTGCTATTGTGCTGAATGCTCTCTAGATTAATCTCACTGTTCATGTGCTGGCTCACTGCAGACTGTGAGCCAGCAACCTACAGCCCTAGCCTACCAAACAGCCTTCCAGCGTGGTTGTAAACCTTCTTTTCTTCTCCCCAGATTAGTGTCACTGTACATCTCCCATGTAGGCTAGAGAGAGCCTGCAAGCAAAATGTCTTTGGGGAGAAAGCAAAATCAGTTTGTCTCTCAGGAGTCTGTATTATACTGTGATATCTCATCAAAAGTTTCACCATATTCTTGCACTTCTTTTCTGGCAGCTCAGCAAATTTGTATATTCCAAAATTCACTCTTTATGGGACATACAACCTAAAAGATATATTATATAAAATGGGCATCATGGATGTATTCACTGATAAGGCTGACCTGTCTGGGATCACTGGGCAGCCGCAGCACAGAGTTTCCCAGGTAAGTCATACTACTTTTTGGTTTATAGGCCCATGATTACTGATACTCACATCACTTTCTTTACAACTATTCATGATGCGAAACTCATGTAAGAGGCTTTGCTTCACATGAAAAGACAGCTGTTGGCATACGGAGTATTTCACCCATCTTACTTGCCCTGCCAGTGCAATTGGGTTGGAGCACATTACGAGTCTGTAATTTTTTAATCTAGGAGGCCTTTTTGATCTGTGTGGAACAACCTTATAAAAAATACATGACCAAATTATTGTTTCTCCACACCTCGATACCTTCCTGTGGTGTGTTACAGTCATTACCTTGCTGCTTCTGTTTGTGTCTACCTTCTTTAGCCTGCCTATGGGCAAGTAGGGAGCTGTCGGATGTATCATTGCTTGTGTTTTATGGAGGAGAGAGGAAAAACACTGCTTGCTTTTAAACTGTTTGGGAGAAAGGAAAATGCAGTTATTAAAAACATTTGGCTTCAAGCCGATAAGCAATGAGTCTCATTAGTGCCAGGTCCAGGCAAAAGCTACAGATAAGTCATACTTCAATAAACCTAGAGTTTAAAGCTGACAATCAGTGCAAATTTCATCGTCTAATACGAACAAAACAACTGCCCCCCCGACCTCAGGTGGAAGTTGGTGAATTAGGGTCTGTGAATGTCTTGATTTTGCAAGCTAAAGCTTACATGTTTCTCTGCTCTAGCTCTCCACTTCTGTCCCTTTTCCTTTGCTCCCATTTTTTTCCAAGACATTAAGGAACATGGGAAACAGAATTTCAGGATGCTATTGGTTGTGCTAATCTGCATGTTAATTCTTCAACTATATGAACTTGTAATAGACAGTTATATATGAACTTGCTCTCTTAGCCTTTAGTCTAGCTCCAAAGATCTGCACAACTGGGTGCAAGGAATAAGGGAATAAGAAAAGAAACAAAACAAATGTTTTCACTAGCAGGAACATGCCCCTACACTGCGGATGGGCTTTTCCTCTCTGGGGCTAAGCAAGCTATACTGCATGTAGCTTGCTGATTTTTTTTTTGACTTTGCTGTCTTTGTGCGGTGGACTCACATAGGTCCATCTGATGTTTCTTTCTTACCAATACCTTCTTCAGGCACTTTAAGCTCAAGTTCTTATTTAGGTGACTACTTTTGTAGCCTCTTGACTTGTGATGTGTCTGTTTCTTCACAGGCTATTCATAAGGCTGTGGTAAAGGTGGATGAGACTGGCACCGAAGCAGCAGCTGCTACAGGCATGGAAATAGTGCCTATGTCCGTTCCAGTTACCATTACATTCAACAGGCCCTTCCTAATGGTCATAACTATGGATAATACTATGCTCTTCATGGGAAAAATTGTCAACCCTCTGAAAAATAATTAAGTTGATGTACATATTAGGTATGCAGTGATCACCACTATTAAATCAAGTGTTTGACCTGATGAGGATGGCATGGCTACAGAGGGCTCTCCACCTCTTAATTGATGTTATTCACTGTTTTTTGTAGATGAGACTCTTCATCAGTTTAAATTGTCATAGTTGCATGTTTGTTTGGGCCTTGGTTTTTTTAATATATTTTTTTTTCAAAGAAGGTTGCATTCAGGCAGAACTGTCATTAGATCTGGGACAAAACAGGCCTGTGTGATTCTGACAGCACAGATACATCTTCCAGCAGGGAAGATGAGGAGCATGTGGGTGGAGAGGGTTGTGAAAGCCTGCTTCTTCCCCCACAGCTGCCTTGTCACCTTTTTTTTTTTTTGCATTGACTGATAAATGGGCACAAGTTATGGCACTTTACTACTTGTGCCCATTTTCCTACCAACATAAAATTCCTATCTAACATAGATCTTAACATACATGATGCTTACTACCTTGCATAGTACCATTGTTGTCCAGTAAGTCTATTACACCCTTGCCTTTCAGCTATTGTCCCAGCTAGGCTGCTGCAAAGGTTTCAGAAAGAAGGTGTGTTTTTTTCCCTGCAGATACATACTGGTCTGCATACTGTCTCTGTGAGAGTTTACAATCCAGACTCATTCCAGGGCAAATGTCAGAGGGTCTAAGAATTTTGTCTAAGAAAAGAAGAGGTAGATCAGAACTCTGCAGTTCAGTGCCCTGGAGCTGACCTTTGTGAATCAGATATACAGCTCAGAGCAGCCAGAACACTACTTCTAGCCTATGCCTGCACCTAAACCAGCTTCTACATGTCCCCAAGCAGCAGGAAACACAAGCCATCTCCTCTTGGTGCCAGTGCCTGTACCATTACCATCTGGTCCTGGGAGATTATCCTTGGTAGTAAGCACCATTCCAGTATTGTTTGTAGGATCAAGCACCCTGCTGGTAACACCTATACCCCATTGGTGACACTTACTGTGTCTCTTGACATAACCCCTTCTGTTCCCAGACTGTCCAGTAATACAACATTGGTACTCTATTTCTCATCTGCTTCACAGTTAGTATAGCCACAATATTATAAAGATCTGTTTTCACTGTTAAGATACATGATACTAAAAGTCACATTCATAATGCACATGCTTATTTATTTCTTATTTACTTTCCTATCTATTTTTTCTTCTGTTTTTCACAGCATCTATCATTATTTTATTTCTATGTTCATGGTATATATCTGATCTCTGGTTGCAGGAGGGGTAAATTATTGACTAAAATGGGTTAGTCTGTTAATAGATATTAAGCATTAACACCAGTCTTTGTACAGCCTTGAAATATGCAGACGAATGTACTACGGTAGAAGAATAACAATGAATAAACATGACATTTAAAAGTTTCTAATTTTGCAATTTTATTTCTGTAATTCAGAGTTAAGACTTAAATATTATTCAAGCAGGTTTTTTTGACCAGTGCCAACAAACAGTTATTAAAGTACTGATCATATACATTAGATCAGCATGATAATGCCAGTAATGAGCTCCAGAAAGCCCTCTGAGCAATAAATCTCTGTTCAGCACATAGTAAGTTAACTCTGTGAGGATAACTTTTTGGGAAGGTTGGACATTTCTTTGATGCAGAGATGTGTATTTCAAAGGTTATAGGCAGCATGCTGCTTCTACTCTGTATCAAGTGTGCAGCTTTGTGTGTGTGTTTCTCATCTCTATTCTAAAAAGCTCTCTCTTGACTGCCTCTAATAGCTGGGTTACCAGTCTTTGCATGTGTTTTGAGCTGTGGTTGGTGTTATTCTGTAAACAAAACATGGGCCATCTAGGTCATACGTTTTTTGATAGATTATGACAGGAAAACAAGAAAAATGCTTAGAAGTTATTAGCTTTTTGTAGAGGAACCCACTTCCCAATTAAAATCATGGTGAAGAAAATTCATCTGTGTGGCATTCAAATTGAGTAATAAGGAATAATAAATTCAGTATTTCCCAAACTGAAACCTAAATGTAATCAATTTGTTTTCATTTGTCTTTGACAACATCACTGGATCTGTAGCAAACCTTGACAGAGGGTACTTGTCTACAGGTTCTTACAGATCTTTGTAATTTGTACTGATGTGGAGGCACTGCGGATCTTGCTAGGCACAAACAGTTTTCTGACATAACAAGATCTTGCAGCTTGCTTTTCTGCAAAAATGTATAGCAATGCATTTGGATGCAAGTCCAAAAAGCCTAACTTATATAGAAAAAAATATTTGGCATGTTTACACAGCAAAGAAAATTAAAATTATGAGGAAAACTTCAGAAAATGGAAGACATGATCAAATCAAGGAATGCCCTGTGCCAAAAAGAACAACCCTACAACATTAAATCTAATAGGGTAATAAGAAAGGACAAGGACAACTTTGAGAAAAAAACTTGCAGAAGTCATAGTGTATAATAATCTTTTTCAAAGGCATAAGAATCCTGCCAGAGAGCCCAAGGGGCCAGTAGATGTTCAAAGTGTAAAAGAATTGCTCAAGGCGGATATTGGCAGAACAAAAAAGCTCAATCCATTGGGTACTTCCTTTGCAGTGGTTGAGCCTGAGCAACTATTTCAAGTTGAACTAACGATAGAAGAGTTTTCAGAAAAAAAATCAAAGAGCAAGTAACAACGAATTGCCAGGACTGCTTAGTATGCATGCAAGAGCTCTTAGCTGTCTCGAGAAGAAAAATATCAAGCTTTCCACTGTGATGCATCAGTTAGACTGGTCTCTGTACCATAGTAATAAGAAGTGACGAATGTGACATGAGTTTTTAAAAAAAGACACGAATGAGCATACAGTGAATTGCAGAACAGTTAGTCCAACTTCGGTATTTTGGAAACTGTACAATTTGTAGTTGTACGGATAAGTATGTCAAAATGTTGAAGAATTTATGTGACTTTATCAAGAGATTCTTTGAAGGAGTTGATATGTCTGTGGATTACAATGCTTTGATTGATACATGTTACGTGGTTCAGAAAAAAAACAAGATTCCTCAACAAAGAATCTCAAAAAAACCCCAAGCTAGTAAAGTTCAGGCATGTGTTATTCAGGAAAGTCAGAGATCATGTGGGACTTCTATGAATTGTGAGGTGACACCTTTTGCTGATGGTCCATGGATAAGGATCTCACAGTACTCAGCGACTGGCTGATAAAATGGCAGAGGAAAATTACCGTCAATAAATACAAAGCAAAGAATACACAGAAAGAACCCTTGGTTTATGTATGGTGTGGTGGTCTTTTAAGTTAGGCATTGCCGCTCAGGGTAGAGATTTTGCAGTGATGCTGGGTAGGCCACTGAGTATGACATCTCCATGCTCAGTGCTGGTGAAAACGAAACCAAGCAGTGGGAGATACAAAGAAAGGAAGAGAGAGCAAGGAAACATCAGTGTGCCCCTGTGCCATGGTATGCCCACACTGTGTATATGCTGAGTGCAGCACTGGATATTGAACTAGATGAACATTTAGTCTAAGCTAAGGGTGGCAATTTTATATGGCTTATAGGATAATGTTATCTGTACATATACTGTGTATCTATGGATTCAACTCAGACCCAAAGCCTAAGTGTTTATTTCCTTTTGCTATGCCCAAGAGTGTGTAAGACAACAGCACGGGGCTGGAGTTAAGAGCGTTTTTATTTCCTCAATTAACAGCAATGCTTCTATCAGCTCAGCGGTTTAGTAGGAAATAACTAAAAATCAAAGCCGACTAACATGACTCAGTAGTTTAGAAGCATTCATTATCAAAAAAGAAGTGTGGTTTTTTAGGTAGTTTACAAGTCTTTTTATCGCTTCTTTGAATGGCTGAAGTAGGTGAATTTACATCTGTATGCTTACTTTCAGTTTTGATCTTTTTACAATCACTAATCATACTTTTTGCAATCACATGAATGCCTTGCTATTTACCAGTGAACCTTCACAAAGACCCTAAGCAGATCTCTCATATCTCTTATTCAATGTATCTGGGTTTTGTTCTTTTATTTTTCTGTCAAATATATATATATATGTTTTTTAAATTAGAATACCTCATTACTAGCCTGTTTTTCTCATCAGATTCATACCAAACTTTGCTGTTCAAAATTTATTTTTTAATGTGAATTACCTCAGTATACTAGTTCTAAACTATTTTTTCTCTACATCTATGACCTTACAATATATGACAAATATACTTTTAGTCCATGAAAAAAGGTAAAAGAGAGTAAACTTGGAGTGGCAAAATAATGACTTCCTCATTATGTTTAGGTCCTCTATAACTGATGCAGAAGTTTTTTCCATCCTGACTTGAAGAAATAAGTGCTTGATCTAAACTTTATTGTAAACAATTACTTTCTTTCAGTCAGTCTTTTTCTACAATAGCCTTTAGATAATGCCCATAGTTCCATATTGGTATTATCTTCACATTCAGTAAATTACTTTCGAAATGTTCAATTTTCCAAAGTTGTGACAAAAATCTAAAATCTCAACAATTTTCCTGAAAATGGTTTTGAAATTTTCTTCTGTTTTATTGGTAAATGGTAGAAAAGTTTATCACTTGATAGCATCTTATAAAACAGAAGTTTATGTGGAACATTTTTATAATTTCTGTTTTAAAATATTGACAAAGACAAAGCGTTCCTGAAAATGGTCTGACTTCTCTGACTCTTACATGGAAATTGCTCTCCCAGACAACTTCCAAGAAGTTTTTCTAAGAAAAGATTATTAAGGGGGACAATAAGGGCCACAGAAAGAATCTGGGTACTTGCACAGTCTATGAAAGTTTCTTAGATGTGGGAAAAGTTGAAGTGCACATTCGTTAAGTAGTTTGTAAGTAATACAACGCTGAAGTTGTGGCTCAGTTATAAGCCTGTTATCATCAAAGATAAGATAGGGACTTCCAGTTCAAAGGATTTATGGACTTCGGAGCTTTGGCTGTGCATTGAGTGCCCATGGAACAGTAATAGAAGTAACTGGTTTTACA